TTCAGAGGGCATTTGCTGTATTCAGAGGGCATTTGCTGTATTCAGAGGGCATTTGCTGTATGCAGAGGGCATTTGGCCCTATCAAAACATGTATAAAACAATATTTTAAAGTACATTTGAAAACTTATTTGCTCATGAATTCAAACACCCAGAATTTATCTATTTTTTAATAAATTGTACTTCCGGGCAATGTAAGAATATTAACTTAAAAAAAATTGGGGGTCACCGGCATAATTTTTGAGAAAATGGTGGTTGTTTTTCAGTGGATAGTGGCCATTTTGGCAGTATTATTGTACTTTTACCATAGGGTTCCTATGGCAGAGATATTATGTCATATCTCAAATTGTAGGCTGGTGACATAGGCTGAAAAATTAATATATTGTTAATGATGAGGTACTTTTTGTTTTCCTGAATTATTTCAAAAATCTGGGTTTTAAAAAGGGTCAAACTAGCAGCCTGTCGGGTGATATAGCTCCACTGTTTGTGATGCATGCTCTGAAAGCAATGACTAAGAAGCAATTTAAACTGCTTTAATACCGCAAGACATCAACTTTCTTGATTTTGTTGCAGAGAATATTTCACTAGAAGTAAAGAATTGAAGATATCTTACGAAATGGACAAATCTAATAGAGGTCTGCCCAAGCTGCATGTGTACAAGTATCAATGTATGGTTTTGAAAGACAAGTCAAAAATATGTTTTTTGGTGAAAAATTATGAAAATATTTGCTAAAAATAAAGAATTGAAGATGTTGACAGGAAGTGAACATATCTGATATAGGTCCACCCAGGGTACATATACACCAAGAACCATGGCATTCAAGTCGAAAATATCATTTTTGAGCCAAAAATGACAAAAATATTCACTAAAATTGGAGAATTGAAGATATTGTCATGTAATTAACAAATCTGACTGAGATTAACCCAAGGTAACTACAAATAAATTTACAAAGCAATCAGGTTAGAGGTTTTCAACAAGAAGTTGAAAATAACATTTTTACAAAAAATGACACAAATATTCACTAAAATTAAAGATTTGAAGCTATTGTCATGAAATTACCAAATCTGACAGATTCACCCAAATAAAGTTGCAGTTTTCAAGAAGATTACAAAACCTTTTCATCAAAATTAGAGAAATGAAGAGAGAACCACCCAAGGTACCTTCTTATACAGTTTGTGATTTTTAAGAAGAAGTAGAAAATGTAAAGTTGACAACGGCAACAACGGTCAATGAGTAATACTATAAGCTCCGCTTAACTTCATCGACAGCGGAGCTAAAAATACAATTTTTGTTTAACCTTATTCTCTATGGAATTGATCTAAAAATAGCGATTTTTGAAAAATATTAGAACATGTTTCTCAAAATACGTCACTATAACACACAAAAGAGTAATTTTTTTATAGTGCCATTTGACAATAGCTCCATGATTTTACACTGAAAGTCACTGAAAATGACACAGTCCCCGTTAAATTTTTGAAAGTTCTGTTTGTGCTCGTCATATTAAAGCGGAGGGGTTGTCGCGAGCGTGTCCTTGAAACTTGAGTTCCAAGTGGCGTATACAACAGATTGTTTATTTACATCAAAACATGTGTTCTGTGTAGTAGTAATATGGCCAAAAATAAAAACAGCCATTATTCGGCCATCTTTGATCTGATTATGAAACACACTGATATGCATGATGTATGTGCCAAATACAAATGAAAATGATACATAAATTGTGAAAATATAGTAGTAAGGCCAAAAAGTCAGATGGCTGTCAATTGGCCATCCTTGACGGGATTTTGAAACAAATTGTCATGGACATGGATTCTAACATGTATAAAGTACATGTATGTGCCAAATTTGAATGAAAACTGACAGAGCACATCCAAGATACCGCAAAAAAAAACAAACAAGATGCCTGCCAGTCGACCATCTTTGATCCAATTGCGAAATAAATCGTCATGGACATGTATCCTAACATGTATAATCTATGTACCAAGTTTGAATGACAACTGACAAACCATATCCAAAATACAACATTTTCAAAAAACAAGATGGCTGCCAGTCGGCCATTTTGAATCGAATCACTAAACCACTGCATGTGCATATGTCCCACATAAGGTACTAGGCACATGCAAAGAATGAATGGAATCAGTCCACAGGATTCTGAAATATGACTCTGTACAGACTGACAGACGGACGGACAGACTCAGGAACTCGCGGAAGGTCGGGGACATGTATCCTAACAC